GGACTCGAGCCACTTTCGAACTTCCAAGGCTACAATCCTCTAGGATCAGTTGAACAAGATTTTATAGGACTCAATTTTATTCCTGACAAGAAACGATAGTTTTCGATTCTGCCTATAATATCAAGAATTAACACATTGCAGTTCCTCAGAAGTCGAATTCTTTGGAAAGCTGCAACAAAGTCTTTGTGGATAATTATAACTCTAGAGAAACTCCTCAGCAGAAATCTAATTTGAAAAAAAAAAGCGAGCAGCGGCTTGTTAGGCAGTGTTGGTAAAAACAGAAGTGTGTTTATTAGGTTTGCAGCTTTCTGCAGTTTACCTTTGTGCGTTTGGATATAATGCTTCAAATTTATTTTTCCAGGTCTCCTTACTCTACGGACGATGACTTGGCCGACTCGCCTCCGATGGAGCGACTTTACTCTCCGCTCTCTTCGTCGGCGGAGTCTATAAGCTCCATCAAATCGAGGTTGGTGAATGTTAGAACGCAGAGCATTCCTATATCTCATTATATATGGAATCCTGTATAAGATGCTTCTTTTGCAGTTCGTCGTCTCGGTCTTCGGCCGAACGCGAGATTGAGCGACAGCAGCGTCGGCAGTTGCTCGATGCCAGCCTGCTCAAGATGCGCGCCTCCAATAATATGCCTCTGCGGAAGCATCTGCTCGTCTATAACACCGTCAAGCAGCTCCAGGTATGGTGGAAGCGGATGAAGTGATAATTTGGAATAATTAAATATTTTCTTTGCAGCGCGATCTGGATTTGCTCGACGACGAGGAGCTGTACTGCAACCTAATGGGCGAAGGCTGCGGCGAACGTATGGATGTGGACGAACGCCGTTGGCCATCATTTGGTGGCATCGGCAATGGTTCGCCCTGCATGACGATGACGTCTTCGTCCTTGCCGTCGTTGACGTCTTCAGAAGGTGATGTTGTCGTGTCTTCGGCGGCGGCGACGGCGGCTGCGGTCACTTCTGCGACTGCGACGGTTGCACCTCCGCAGCAAGAGGAGCGCCGCGTAGCTGAGGAGGCCACTTCTCTTATTTCTGATGATCTCGACATGGACGTGTGTCAGCAGATGCCCCAACAGCAGCAGGCACCGACCTGGTCATGGACTACGACTGATACTACCTCAACGTCGTCCACAGCAAACAGATGCGGTGGTGACGCCATGATTAGTTCGGGCGGCTTCCATCTGTTCGAATCCATCCAGGCGAGTACACTCTACCTCTTCTCTACTTTTGTTGTTTGGCTTTGCTTGCATAAGTGATTTCTCTCCTTTCTTCGCGTTTTGCTCTTTTGTCGTCGAACGAGCCTATTTGCTCGTTCGCTTTGTCCGTGCGCTGTGGCGAGCGTCACGCGACTCGCGTCTGGCATTCTCACCCTCTCAGCGCCACACTATCCCTAGTACTTCGATTCCCCGGCTCACCGCTATCGCATAGACAACGAGGCCATGGCAAATCGGCTCTCTCACGTGATGGGCGCCCCCGTTTTGCGAAAATTGCATTGTGACAAGAGAGTGGAGATAATTTGGGACGCTGGATTGGTCTTGTGATTTTGAAGTGTTGACGTTTTTCAATTTCAAAGATAAGAGGTCATGACGTAGATGTAGAGTCTTTTTTGCTTTCTAAAGTT